GCGAAACAATGAGCTGTTGCCTTGCCAGTTCCTCTTGGACAAGAACAGAGTGATGTGCAGGGGTGTTGTCGTGTAGCAACAGCCAATTCTTCTGCCAAACGTTTCACTAGGGGATTTGCCTACTTTTTGGCAGAACCTGATGTTTGACCATTGTTCAAACTGCCACGTCTTTGATTTATGCCACTTGTATTTAACTACAGTTCACAGTAGAGGTAGTAGTTCTGCTTACACTGTTTGCACACAACTTCCTCTTGCTGTGACAAGAGATGAACTGACAGGGCATCATATCATGCCTCAACCTACGTGCTGTAGTGCAATGCAACGAATCTTTGTGGCCAGTCCACGAAATTAATGACTGTACCACCTATATCCTTACAGCGTATGTTATATAGTGCACTTTGTCTTGCAGAATCTGATTCTGACTCGGAAGACACGGAAGGGGTTTACTACTCTGTGTATGAACACCGCCAGCGGCAGAGGAGGAAACAGCAGCTTGAAGGCAGCAATCAGCTTGGGCAGAGCACAATGACAGTGACACTTTCAGTCAGTCAGGGTGTAATCTGCCTGTTTGCCCCTGTGAGGGTGTGTATTTCTTGCTGATTCATTCATAAAACAGAGACTGGATGAAGAAGTCTCGTAGTTTGGGATACTACATTATTTTGTGAAAGTTGTCCATGTGCGTAACTAATAAAGCACTATGCCATGAAGATGTATGGGAGAGTGGATGTATAGATCCACGTATTCCTGACCTCAACACTAGTTGAAGGTGAGTGGCACCTGCCACTTTACCCGTGGGGAAATAGCCTTGGTACCCATTGGATAGAAGGCTGAGTGGGCCCCAGAGGCAGTCTGGATGCCCCTACAGGGACTCAAACTCCAACCCCTCAGCTATCCAGTCTGTAGCCAGTTGCTATAACAACTGCACTGTCATGACTCTGTCGTGTGGTGGTAGAAGGATGAAGTGGACAGCTAGATTTGAAGTTTCCATGGTGCTCATGGCCTTTGGGATAGTGATACCATATAGTCTTGTGGACATACAAATGTTTTAGAGGAAAATGCGGCCTCCATCATCAAGGTTGAAGTGAATGGATAGAGGTTGTGGTCATTCAGATTACGTTGTCACAGTGACATGGTTGGTGGTGGTTCACAACCATGGGAGAAGGGGGTGGGAGGAAATGTAGCCCTATCTGGGACTGTTGGAAGGTGAACAGGGAATTTTGAGAAGACAGCCCTCATATGGAACCAGGAGGACGGTGTGAGAAAAACTGTCTTTTTGAAGATATGTTTCCTGCGTTCTCACTTTCATGTCTACAGTGTACCTTAAAAGGAATGTTTTATCATTTTTCTCTCAGGCCCCCTATGAGGATCATATTCTGACTTTCTTCTCTGAAATGGACCTTAGTAAGGGCTGCTTTCTCACAGTTCCCTGTGCATTGTGCACATTGTCATAGACAGGGTTCTATGTCTTCTCCGCTTCTGTCATTTTGAGAGACCACCATGGCCATATAACCCAACTGTATCCTTACCTCACTCACTTTGACCATGATACCAACATGTTACTTCAAAATGTGTCTGTCTACACTCTTGTATCTGGGAATTCATACGACTACATATAATAAATCATCTTGAGAACATTTAAAAATGTCCTGTATGTTAAAAATTGGGGGGGTTGGGGGGCAATATGGCAGTGATGCTGACAGATACAATACAGTGAGAGTATGCAGGCCTGCAGTGGAAACTATGCATAGAAATGGAGCTGAGCTGAGCATCCACATGGCACACCGTTTGTTGGCATTATATGAAAACTTCCAGTTTTCATGGTGGCAAAACCCTTACAGTTAAAGTGCCTTCTTTTTGGCTGGTAAAAGAAGCTCTAAGAGAAAGTCATTTCTCATCAGCTGAAGAGGTCAAGGCTTGAACTCCAGCCATAAAATTTCTTCCAAGGAATCCAAGCATTAGTGCAGTGTTAGAGGAAGTGTATCAAACATAACGGGGACTGTGCTGAAGATTGATTTACTCTTTGTTTTTTAAATTTAATATTTGAAGTTCTCATTAGAATAAACTTTGCATTAATTTATAGCCTCTGCTAGCATCCCCCCCGTTCTCCCCCCACTCCCTCTCCATCTCTCTCTCTCTCTCTTTTATTTCAAATTCAAGCAGATGCAGATACAGGTTGAGAAGTAGATCACAAACCCTTGGATATAGAATGTGTCACATATCAGAACAAATGTTCCAGTTAATCATTGGAACAAGTGTAGGTAACATAATATGAAATATACATAACACAGACATAGAACATAAATAGCCTCACCATTTGAATATAAACATGTGAAGGACAGTAGACATCATAAGTTTCTTTCCATCACTTGTTGCCTCCCCATTTTATTTTAATATTATGATGACTTGTTTCTTGTAGGACTCTGGCAAAAATGTGATTCCTGGGCAGCATGGTGAACTGCAGGTGATGTTTGAAGAGGGCAGCATGTTCTCCGTCTCAGGCTACAAAGGGAAGCCCGGACTTGGTTATGTTTGTGTCCAAGTCAATCAGGCTTCCTTCTATCACAATGGTTAGCTATATTAGTATTGCAGTACATAAATAATATAAAACATGAAATGATGTCAGATTTGAGGTTCTCACAATGGTGATTATGAGGGGTTCTTTCTTGTGGGATATAATGCCATGCAATCCTTTGAAAGTCAGCTGAAATTTTGGAGGGACATGTTGCCTCCATATTCAAGATTAAATAAAGATTGCTTCACACTGGTTTCTCACTTAGCTTATTCTTCAGCCCTGAAGACGAAGCCGATATCGTCTTCCGAAACTTCTGTTTACTTTTTGTGTGGACTACATGGCGTTATATCCCAGAAGACAGAACTCTTCACAAGAAATGTATTTCGAAAATACGTACACTCCACTTGAAGTACAGTTTTCTGCTTGCGTTTTAATACTGTAATGAAAAGATGACACGATTTGCTACTATGTTTATTAAAGCACTGTACCATGAAAACATGGAGAAGTCTAGGTATACCTCCATGTATACTTAAATCTGGCATGAGATGGACATAGGTGCTGATCTTTGTGTCCTAGCTGCTATATTTCTAGTGAAAGAGTCCCAAGTATGCATTGGTTAGGAGGCTGGGTGGGCCACAGAACCAGCCTTGATCCTATAAAGAAGAGAGAATTCTTGCCCCTGTCATGAATCAACCCCTGTTCCTAAGTCACTCATCTCATAGCACAGTTACAATACTATTAAAATTATGAAAAAAATATAAAATTTGAAAGTATGATTTAAATATCATATTTCCATGATATAGATTTTCTTCTAGTTGCTACATTGTTACAAGTAAATTGAATTAAACGTCAGCTTCAAGCATTTCCCCCACCAATGTCTGTTGGTTGCTTTTAGCCTAAAGGTTGAAGCATTGAATTCACCAGCATTTGTGTGATTTTTGACCTTTGAAAGTCTGCCAAATTGGTTCTCAGCTGGAAAAAACTTTTCATACTGAGACAGGATTGAAGTTGATAGGTATATGTGTTTTCGCAGGCCTGGTAGCAACGCTGTATGAAACCGCACAGTTGAGGATGGTTGGCTCACCACCTCCCTCACACCTAGACCCAACCATCTATCGTTCAGAAGGGGGGGCATCTGTAGGAACATCTGGACCAGTTGGGACAGGCAATAATAGCTTAGACATGCTAGCTGTTGCTATCAAAATCCAAGTGGACGATTCTGTTCACAATCTTAAGGTAAGACCGTGACTCTTGTCGTCTGATCAAAGTGCGGACTATATTAATGTCAGACCAGTACTCATCACATAGTTGGTTAATGTAGAATTTCTGTTTAGTAAATCTACATAAGTGATATGAATTTATCTTAGGCTCTTGTGAATGTTGGAATGAACCTTCTGATACCATAAAAGTGAGGGAATTTCTTGACTGAGGGGACAAGTACAAGCTGCTTCGAGTTAGTGGTTTCTTGTGCAGATTTGTAGCTGTTGCCGCTGTGTTGAAGTACTGTACTGCTTTCAGACATTCCAAGTGGCGGCTGCCCTTCGTGGGGCTACTCTCAGGCATCGGATGTGCACTAGTAACCACAGCTGGTTCACACAGATTGTGGACTTCTTTGATGTGATAGACTATCCTGTGGCTGGTTATGATCCTCCTGGAGTGATCACAGAATTACACATGCATCTGTGGGAATGCGGCGTGGACTACAGGTAATTTGATAGAATTTCACAGTGAGTCTATCCCAGGATTAGGCTTACTGAGACCTGTTATGAATATTATGAAACAAAATTCTTCCCTTGTTTCAAACATCTTCCCAGACTTATTTTTCCTGTATTTTAAGATCTTTTTTTTAATCATGTCAGGAACTGGGATACCTAAGTTAGTGTAGCAATGGGGTGTGGGCTGAATGGCTAAGGAATCAGGAGTTTGGTTTTCATTGGCGAAAGGGATTTTTATTTCTTTGTGACAGTGTCCAGACCAGCTCTGAGCCCCACTAAGCCTTCTCTCCAGTGGGTACTGGGGGGCTCTTTTCCCAGGGGTAAATTGGCTGTGGCATGAAGTTGACCACATCCAGTGCTGAGAGCATACATGGAGCAATGCCTCCATGTCTCCATTTTTCTTCATGGCTTAGTGCTTAATGAACGAAGCACAGGGACAACTTTTACACTTTTAGGAATTCTGTCAGAGCTTGCCTGATGATTCCATAAATGTGCACATATGATTAAATTAAAATGAACTTTTATCCTTTCCTCTGTGATCTGTTTCTTTATGTGCCCTGCTACAGAAAATTACAGCTTCTGTTTTTAATATGGCTTTGATTATTAAATCATAAATATAAGAATGTAATAAAATCAATTCAACAAAAATATATCAGATCCTTCATTTAAAGTTTTTGTAAAACAAAAAAAAAACATTTGTAATCATCCTCCCAGTTTTGGGCCTTCTTGGCCTGTTTGTATGCTGTGAAATCCTCCTCTAATGTTCCTTGACTTAAGGTTTCTTGTGATATGTTCAGTTTTAGTTATCCGGTTCATTCCATGTTGGTGTCAAATTTCCTCCCTGTATGGCTCTCTCTTATCTTAGTTTTGAATTCACTGCTTCCGAAAGAAGCCTTAAATTGGGGTTTCCCTGTAATACAAAAGCAATCCTTAGCAGGATATAACAACATTTCTCTTTTTTCTGATTTAGTACTTTCTTTTGGGAGGATGGCTGGTAGGTAGTGACATCAGTATCCTATCTTCTTCAGACATATTTACATGCTTGTCTTAGTACAGCAACTGCTTACCAGAGCTAAGGAAAACCGTCTTCCCCAGAGGCTGTAGAAACAGCAACCCTATTACCAGACTTACCAGTTACTGCCTGACATCCAGGTGCTCAGACATTTGTATTACCCAAAGGAAGACAGGTTATTCACTGAATTGAGATGCATCTTAAAATTCGAGAGCTCAACATAGGGACAAGTGAAGTAGGACTGAAGAAAATAAACATACAAGGTGTGGCAATAAAGAAACCGGATTCATGCTCTAACCCTTTATTAAAAAAAAATCAGACAGTCGAAATGTTATCCCCTTCAATGTAGTCCCCTCCCCGATCCCTACACCGCTCCATGCGAATTTTCCACTGTTGGAAGCAGTGCTGCAGGTCATCTTGTGTTATGCTCTTCAAGAGTTGCATCGCTTTTGCTTTCACTGCATCCACGGACTCGAACCTGGTCCCTTT